CCGGTTTAACCACTCTGCTCTGTTGCTCTCTTAGGCCAGTGGGCCAACCAGTTGTGTCAGATCCCCAGTCCATGTAAGAGATACGAAATCAGAATGCAATAAATCAGAAACTTAGCACCAATGAACTCGGGTCTTTATCAGGGATTTTTATTTTATTTTATTGATTTTTTAAAAAAATATATATTTTATTGATTTTTTTACAGAGAGGAAGGGAGAGAGATAGAGTTAGAAACATCGGTGAGAGAGAAACATCGATCAGCTGCCTCCTGCACATCTCCTACTGGGGATGTGCCCGCAACCCAGGTACATGCGGGGATTTTTGATTTTGCTCTAGGTAGTTAGGCAGGAGCAGAGCAAGGACGATGGGCCAGGTACAGAAGGTCATCAGCGTGGAAAGCCCTGGTGGCTGGCAATGGACAATCAATTGTAGGGTGGGACCTCGCCCTAAGGGTGACTTTTCCTCTCCTATAACTGGTCTTGCGGTTTAGACCCCCTGACCTTTCCTCCCTAGAGAAAACATCTAGGCCTCAGTTGTATTTCAGCTCCAGGCCCAGGGAAGCAACAAAACCAGCCTCAGGACCAGCTGCATTATAATGACCCCCTGCCCTAGCGCCAGGCAATCAATCAGTGGAGATCACAACCCTGAATGGACACACCTGGAGAGCTACTGAATATTCTAGTAAGATCTTTCCTTGAGACCTCCCCTAAAATCTTGTCCTGTCCTTAAAACCCTTAAGATGAAGAACCCAGTGCGCTCTCCCTCCAGGGAGCACGCTCGAGCCTTTCCCTTTCCCTTCTTCGCCCCACCCCAGGCACATTACCATTAGCTTCCTCACTCTCAAGCTCCAAGAGCCCTTCCTTTACCTCTATAACTTGTTCCCTAAGCCCATTTCTTCTAGGAATTACTTTTTCTATCTCTGTGATTTACCCAATAAAAGTTTTGCTACAGTTTGGGTCTTGGCTCTGAATTCTCTCCTAGCCAGAACCCAAGTGCTGAGGTTGCTGAACCTAGGTTTGGTCTGACCCCACTAGTGAGACATCTGGTGCCATTCCCACTGGCTGCCTATAACAGTGTGACCGGCAAAATGAAAGGTGGACTTTGAAGCCCAAATAGGCAGAACCCTCAGTTGGAGAAAACCAACATCCTTGCTGGTACAGCCCTATCTCTGAGGAGACTTTTACTCCTGACACAACAGGTCACACCTGATGTTGTAGGTGGTTGCCCCAGCCCTGAAGCCCACTGTCTAAAGATGCTGCTTTGCCCAGAGTTGCAATAGGCTGACATTCTGAAGTTAAATTATTCAGCGTGTAGTGCTGTTTATCAGAAGTGAGTGGATAATTTTATTATCTAACTAGAGGCCCACTGCAGGAAGATTCCTACAAGAATAGGGCTTCCTTGGGCCTATTCCTGCAAGAACAGGGCTTCCTGAGGCCAGAGCGAAGCAGAGAAGGGAGTGAATCTGGAGGCGGGCTTCGCTCCCTCCCTTCCCCGCTGCCTCAGCTCCCGCCCGTGTCCTCTGCTTCGCCTCCCTCCCTTCTCTGCCACTTCGCTCTCTCCCATGTCCACTGCCTCAGCTCTGCTCCCATCTCTGTTACCTCTGATCCATTCCCTTCTCCGCCACTTGGCTCCCTTTGGCAGTGCTTGGCTTCCTTCTACACTGCCTTCAGTCTTCGCTCGGCACCTGTGTATGCAAATTAACCACCATCTTTGTTGGGTTAATTTGCATACTCTTCTGATTGGCTGGTGGGCATAGCAAAGGTACAGTCAATTAGCATCTTTGTCTTTTATTAGTGTAGATTGTAAAACCCAAGAGGCTATCTACTTCAGAAATTCACAAAAGGAAAGGGAATATGAACTATAGAAGAGTGAAAAGTATTTTTTTTCCAACACGACAGACACAAGAAATAATGTTAAAACACATTTTTAACTACAGCGGAAGGTCGGGGAGGGTTGGGGGGGGTGGGTAAGAGATCAACTGAAGGTCTTGTATGCGTGCATATAAGCATAACCAATGGACACAAGACACTGGGGGGTATGGGAGACTAGGGGAAGGTCAAGGGGAGAGAAAAAAAGGAGACATATATAATACTCTTTGTAATACTTTAAGCAATAAAACAATTAAAAAAAACCCACATTTTTGAAGATGGTTTTATTATGGTAGACATATATTTATCATTTTTAAAATATTTTTTTTTGTTGATTTCAGAGAAGAAGGGAGAGGGAGAGATAGAAACATCAATGATGAGAGACAGTCATTGAACAGCTGCCTCCTGGACACCCCCTACTGGGGATCGAGCAATCCAGGCATGTGCCCTGACCGGAAATCAAATTGGGATCTCCTGGTTCATAGGTCGATGCTCAACCACTGAGCACATCAACTAGGCAAATATCTTTATCTTTTATGTGTTAGTGACTAACACCACTCAGTTCTGAATGGAAAGATAACTGTCTTTCAAAATAGTTTCAGACAAAGTAAAGATGTGAAGATATGTTCAGTGCATATAATAAATTTATTTTCTACATAAAAGAGATGCACATTTCCCAGTCTGTGTCTTATCTTTTCATTTTCGTAATGGTATTATTTGAAGAGCAATTTTCAATTTCAAAGAAGTCCAATTCATCAATTTTTTTTCTTTTGTGGGTGTTTTTGGTGTCATATCTAAGAAATTTTTGTGTAACCTAAGGCCACCGAGATTTTCGTTGACTTCACTTCTTCATTCGACATATCCATTAAGATACACCTGTGCCAGGCTCCTCCCCTCTGAGAGCTCTAGGGGACAGAGGCATGAGCAATCCATCAAAGGCAGGCATCTGTTGCTTTTCTAGAAGCACTTGTAGTTGAGACACCAAGGGGACTGCGTGGTGCTGTCAGGGTCCCTGGAGGAAGCAAAGGTTGGCTCAGGTGGTCCAACATGGGATCTCATGACCAAAACTCTGGTTGAAGGGATAGTCACAGAGACCCTCAGAACCGGCAAACGTGTTGCTAAGAGGGTTTGGGGAGCAAGAGAATAGTCTTCTACTGCCTTGAATGAGATTAGGCAGAATTTACTTGATTTTTACGAACAGAGATCCACCTCTCCAATATAGCAGGGCTGAGATCCTTAATTTCCAAAAAATAGAAAGGAAGAAGAAGAAGAAGAAGAAGAAGAAGAAGAAGAAGAA